AGAACAAATTTAAAGAAACAGTTTAGATTTGCTAAACTCTGGTATTTGTGTGACTTTAATGCTTTGGAATGCGAGTCTTGAGAACATTGTGAATCTGTGCCTTCTTGATAGTCCAAGGTTCTGCTGATCGAGTGCTCCTTTATGAAAGATTTCATCCTGTATCCCTCTCTGGGGTCATAGCACAAATCCAGGAGCATGCAGCCACACACAGCAAGGAGTTTGGTTACTAAGCCGGCACTGGGTCTCCCTGAAAAGGAAAAAGAACTTCAGGCCCTTAAAGTAGAACATGAAGGGCTTCCTGTTGCTTAATCAATTGAAATGACCCAGAACGCAAGTATGGATTAGCATGTGCCCCTAGATTAGGGCTAATAGGGGCAGGCTGAGCAGATGCAGGGACACTCCCAGCCTGATTACTGTACCTCAGCATTTAATCATCTCTTCCAAGGGCAGCCGCCTGACTTAGTGTGTACTGGGTTTCAAAGCTTTTGGCCCCTCCCCCATGCCACGGACATAAAGGCTGCTAGGTCAGAGACTGGGGAGATTTAATCTAATCCCATGTCCAAATGCCTGCGTGGGTGTTTGTGTGGGAGAGAGATCTTAAAATCAGCACATGAAGATGGCGATACATTTATGTTATTTAAGGTGGACATAGACCAAAAGTACATGTAAAAAAAGGCAGGAGTTGAGTTTTCAAGGCCTTTGAGGTTATGCAATGACCCTGTATATGGAATTTCTGTCTTTGAGACACCTTTAAGCTATGTAGTGCCTGTCACAGTTACTCACCTCGAGACGGCTTTCTGCGAAGTCATTTCAGAACTCAGCTGTTAGGGCTGAACTGACTTCTTCCCTGAGTTATGTGAAATACACAAAATGCAATCTGTAAAAATGATTTTATTTGGATAGGTCTTGGGTATGGTATTTTTACTTTGTTTTTGTTTTTAGGAGAAAATGTCTCACTATTTATTCCAGGCTGGTCTTGAACTTGAGGCAGCCCTACTGACTGCTGAGATCGCCCTGGAGCAACCACTCTTAGCTGTGATTGACATTTGAGGTTTTTTTTGTGAGTGTGGGGAAAATGCGTGGAGCAGGTGCTCACTGTTAGGGACTCGGGGATAGATTTGGTCACTTCTTAAGGAATTTGCAATCGAATTGAAACCAAAATATGCAAACGATGACGATATGTAAGATTGTTCCTCTGTAGAAGACTGGGCACAGTGCCATGGAGCTACCAGGGAAAGAAGAACCAACCAACAGGTCAAGGACAGGTGCTGCAGAAATCATGGTGTGCACTAGCATGGAGGTGCTTGTGTGAAGATCAAGTGCATCGAAGCCTTTACAGGCCGAAGCATAGTGGGTGCAGCCTCTCTTCCTAGCACTTGGCAGAAGGATCGAAGGTTCAAGGCCAGCTTGTGCTCCATATTGAGATCCTGCCTCAAAGCAAGAAGATAGACTAGAGCAATCTTGAGTGCCTTGAGCACCCCGCCAAAGAGGCAGACTGCTGTGGGCTTTGGGCTCATGAGACTAGACGGCTAAGCAACGTTGTATATATAAAAGTAACTTCTGTGGCAAGGAAGGGTGAAGGGACAGAATTGATTCAGCACTTAAAAGCCATTTGGAGCCTGGCGGAGTGGTGGCACACACCTTTAATCTTAGCACTCAGCACGCAGAGGCAGGCGGATCTCTGTGATCTCTTGTGGTCTACAAGAGCTAGTGCCAGGATAGGCTCCAAAGCTACAGAGAAACCCTGTCTCAAAAATACCAAAACAAAACTCATTTGGACTGGTTCAGAAGAAACCCAAAGTCACAGCTCTCGTTCCTTCCTCTGCTGGCTTTTCCCTGGACTCTCACTGACTCCGCCTTTGTTTTGTTAACACACCCGTATAAGCGGGGCTTCAAAAATGACTGTCATCAAAACCAGCCTGTCAAGCCCTGCTTCGTGTTGTGCCATCAAGTGCTTATCCCTAAATTGGCAAGGCTGACTCCTAGAAAATGCTCACACACAGTTAATACTACGAAATCAGATTTTCTTTTGCATTGATTTCTTTTGGTTTGGATCCCCCCTCTCCCTCCACCACCTGGGCAGGCACACACACATGAATGCATGCCACCAAATGTAGGTGATGTCAGAAGACAACTTGTAGGAGTGAGTGCCCGCCACCACATGGGTCCCATTAATTGAACTCAGGTCATCAGGCTTGGTGACAAGGACTCTCATTCACTGGGCCTACTAACTGGCCCAAAGCCTCCACCTCCCCCACCCCACCCTTCTCTCTTCTCTCTCTCTCTTTTGAGTTAAGGTCTCATTATTTGCCTTGGCTGACTCGGAACTCACTGTGTATATCAGATTTGCCTCCAGCTCCCAGAGGTCCACCCGCCTCTACTTCCCAGGTGCCACGACTCTAGCCAGGATTGCCACCTCTGGCAGCGTCACAGAGCTTGATACAACCAGCCCAAGTATGGTGCCGCATAAAGTCACACACAGCTGGAGAGCATGAGAGGGGACCCAAATTCATGGCCGCTTTTATGGGGGTCTTAAAGTCGAGCTGCTAGATAGATAAGCAGTCTTGGTACTTGAATATGGACTGGACTCAGAAGCTAATGCCAAGGCCTGCTATAACTGCAGTACCTGGCTTTGCTCCTTCCAGTGGCTCCTGGCGCTGAGGCCCAGCTCTGTTCCTTGCCTCGCTCCCATTTCTCTCTTCAGGGTCTCCAAAGTCTGTGTGGCTGCCATCTGAAGTTTCTGTGAACATTCTTCCAAGCTTCCTGAGAAAGTGTGCGTGGGCAGCCAGAGTGTTGAGCCCTATCTAAAGCTGTGTGGTCTGTAGTTCATACAGATCACTGTAGCTGGGTATGGAATTCTAGGCTGCGGGCTATTCTGGAATGCTTGAACCAGGGTGCTTGAGGGCATGACTCCATCATCTTAGCTTCTAGGTTTACCATGGAGTCCAGTATTATTCTCATGCCCAGTTTTTTCATATGCTCCCCTTCCGTACTTCATTCTTTCTGGAATCTTTCGGGCTTCTCACTGTTTGCCTCATGTTCTGAGATGTGTCTGGGTCTCTTGTCATCCATTGTACCAGGTGTACCAAGTGGCCTTTTCCATGACAAGTTCATTTTCTCAGTAACAGAAGTTTCCTTGTGTGTTTTCTAATTTCCCTACTTTCTAATCTTTTCTCAATTTGGAAGATTTCTTTGTTATCTTACAACTTTTGGAATGTGTTTAATTTATTATACTTTTTATTTTTAAAATACCTCACATTTTTCTAGTTAGTTGTAGGATTTTGGAGGAGTTGTTTAGGGGTTTGTTGTTGCTGCTGTTATTCTTATGTGACAGGGTCTATGTGTAGCCCAGATTGGTTTCAAACTCAGTCTCCTGGATGCTAGGATTATAGACATACCCCATCACAAGTCTTGGGGTTTGAGGTTGATTGGTTGATTGGCTGATTTCTTGGATGGATGGATGGATGGATGGATGGATGGATGGATGGTTGACTGACTGACTGACTGACTGACTGACGGACTGGTTAGTTGGCTGGTTGGTTGACTGATTGCCTGGTTAGTTTGAGTAGCTGTTGTTTGTGTTTATAGGGATCTAACTTAGAGTTGGATAAGATTTCTTCCACTGAGCTATACTCCCAGCTCTATATTTTGTATTTCTAAAATGGAATTCCCTATGTTGTGTCTTAGGCTAGCCTTAAACTCTTGGCCTCAAGTGATGCTCCTGTCTCAGACTCCCACAGCAGGTGTGGGTTTGTTTTTTGTTTGGCTTTGTTTTGTTTTTAACAGCATCCCATTTTAAGACAATCTCTGAGGATACTAGGCTGTGCCAGCATTTATTTATTTTGTTTTCTTCCTAAATTGTCTTTGTATAGTTCTGTGTCCATTAAGAGGATACATCAGAATGCTGCTTCCCAGGTTGTCCAGGCCAGAGCTAGGCAGCTTGTGGACGTTAGGGCTAGCTACGTCTTACAGCCACTCCACTCCCCTTATCTCACTAGAAGTATTTTCTTTGGGCTAAATCTCAAATGTCCTGTCTGAGTGGTCTAGGTGTTACCAACCCACTCAGCTAGACACTCATTTCACACTAACTCCTGCTGTCAGCCTCCTCCGCCTTCCTGGAAGATCCTGCGGGGGTGGGGGCAGGGGTTGGGGCGGGGGTTATAGCTTCTACTTCACTGACAGAACTACTCCCGTGCCGTGCAGCTTCCCAAGCATAGCCCTTCCCTGTCCATTGGAAGACAAGACCAAAGCGCATAATTATTTGGCCCAAGTTAACTGGAACTGGGCCACCCTTCTCGAAGGTTCCATGCTGGTTGTTTGTGTAGTGGTGGCGCTGGGAGATGATAGATTTGGGAGGTGGGATTATTGATTTTTTTTTTTAGTTAACCCTAAAATGGTTTTAAAATTATACCAGCCTATGAAATTCTAAAATTAGTAGATAAATAGGCTAGTTTAGTTTGGTTTTGTTTCTTCTATACGCTTGACTCTGGAGGAAGGGACATAGATGGACCAGTGGCCAAACAACAAGGTAGAAGACAGAAATGTGTGTTTTCGTTGTTTCTTTTCAAGCTGATGGAAGCTCGAGCTTGGGCACTAGAGAGCTGAAAGAGACAGCAGCTTAGCAGAGGATCAGAGCCTGCGAGCGACCTATGGCTGGCTTGCTAAAGATGGAGGCAGGCAGGTCTGTGTGGAAGTGTCTCCACACTTCTCTTTCCTAGAAGTTTCTTAAAGAACTAAAACGAACTGCCGTGGCCCACATACACACAGCATATAGGAGGCTGAGATGGTAGGATCCAGAGTTCAAGGCCAATGTGAGCTCCACAACCAGCCCCTTTCTAACTTAAAGGAAAGAGTTGAAACTTATGTGTGCCTGGAAGGCAGGTGAGTCACTAGCTGGGGCTGGCAGACACTGGTAGCCTGAAGGAACAGGGCCAGTTGCCCCCGCCAGCACCTGGGTCCTGAGCACCAGCCCTACCAACGGTCTTGCTTTGTCTCTCCAGGCCTGGTCCAGATCCCTGTGAGCATGTACCAGACTGTGGTAACGAGCCTCGCCCAAGGCAACGGGCCAGTGCAGGTGGCCATGGCCCCAGTAACCACCAGGATATCGGACAGCGCAGTCACCATGGATGGCCAGGCTGTGGAAGTGGTGACATTGGAACAGTGACACGCAGCCCTATCATGGCATCGTTTTCTAGTCTACTTCAATTTTTTTACATGTTTGCAGAGGTGCAATCAAATGGAATTAAGTCTCTCGACTTGGAAAGAAAAGTTTTGGTAACCTTTTTTTTTTAAAAAGGAAGAAAGGCAGCAGATTTTGGAATCACATTTTTTTAAAGCACCACTTCTGGGATTTGGTGGAGCGAGAAACCACACCGATTTCACTGTCCCAAAAAAGCCAAATTGTGGCCGGACATATTGTGCGGAAACGTGTGTATACTTATGTGTGTGTATGTGTGAGTGTGAATATATGTATATGTGTACATATGGACATACACATTTGCATATGTGTATAAAGTATATATGTACATACATATATATGTATGAAACCCGCATGGAGTTAACTGTATGAAATCAAGGTGAACTGTGGAAAATTAACCCACCCAGTTTAGTGGGTGGTAGGGTACATGGCCAGACACAGTCACCTGGTTTTCGTTCATACCAGGGTCATGCATTGAGCTACTGACAAACTCAGGCAGAGGTGACCACGTCCTTCACCAAAGCTGCCTCCCAGTGGCCGCCTAGAACTCTGCTAGATTCAAGCTAGGGGAGGAAGATCCAGGACGCAATGCGGTCCAGAAAGTGCTTACCGGAGTCCAGTCACCACGCATTTTGCCAGCAGAGACTTTTCAGGCTGGCCCAGGTGCTGACCTTGCCTCAGGCAGGTAAATGCCCTACAGGCTCCTGGCAGGGGCAAGAAATCTGTCCTCCTGTTCCCACCTCCTCCCTTCCCAGGAATCCTTGGTCTCGTGACTAATAAAGAGTTGCTCTGGTTGCCAGGGCAGTCCGGAACCAGTTCCCTGTGAACTGAAGGCAACAGGAGTGTTGGGGGGCTGAGGAAATGCTTGTGGAGCAGGCGGGTGTAAATGCAGGGGTGTGTGTGCGTGTGTGTGTCTGTGTGTGTACTGGGGAGAGATTGAGGAGAGTATGGGAGAGCAGGAAGGGAAGGAGGGAGAAAACTTAATAAACCAGGGTGCACCCATGGGAGCCGTGCTCTCCCGCTATCTAGTACGTTAGCAGAGGAGACTGCCAGGCAAAGGACCTCTGCCTGAAGGCTGGCCTGGCCGTCACAGGGCGTCAGGAGAGAAGGGACCGTGTTCCTGGTCTGGCCCTGCTCCAGGAGGACTCTGCAAGGACCGTTTTCCCAGGCACATCGCGGCAGCCCAGGCCTGGCACAGCTTTCCTGCTCACAGTGTGGATTGGACTGAGCGTTCTCTGCCGGTGTGGCCTGTGCTTCTTCAGCCACCAGCCCTGAGTCTCCAGGGGCTAATTCATCTGACTTCTTGACAAGCCAAATCTCCGCTCCTCACGTACAGGGACAACTCTTCCTCCCTCCTCCCGGGTCCTCCCATGTGTGTGATAGTGTATTTAATGTGCTGTTCTGGTTTTTTGTTTTTTAATGAGACATTAAAAGATTCTTCATGTCTTGCTCAGCCTTTGAGAAAAGTTTCCAATTCTTATATTTGCTTGTTTTATATAAAACTATCCAATGTTTTTTGTATGTTCTTTTCTGTACGTAATGGGGGAGGAGCGGGAGATTTGCATATAAACAGTCCTGGTTCTACAATTTGTTATTTTTTTAATTATTATTTTTTATCATATATTGTGAAGCCGTTCAGGGGCTTTAAGGTCCGTGTTCCTTTGTGGTAAAATAACCTCCCAATAGTTTGAGAAATTGCCAAGAAGAAACAAGCAAGACCCCAGTAGCAGAGCATGGATTCTGTGTTGTTCTCCATTCTGTCTAAACTGCCTCATTCAATAAATAGTTTAAATGTGGCAATAAGATGTGCCCCTCTCTGCAGCAGCCTCGGCCTCTTGGGGGTGGGGGAGGGTGGCTCGTTGTCCTTTTCAAAAGACGTGCACTAGGTCTTTACCTGGAACGTTCCTGGGGCTCCGGGAAGCTCCAGGAGTGTGCTGGGTGAACTCTTGTTTTCTCTATTATGGTGTTGTGGAACAGTTATACTTCAGCAAACCTCATGATAAGCCAGGAAGCTGTGGTGTAGGCCTTTAATCCCAGCACGTGGGAGGCAGAGGCCATTCTGGTCTACCAAGTAAGTTCTAGGACAGGCTCCAAAGCTACAGAGAAACCCTGTCTCAAAAAAAAGAAAGAAAGAAAGAAAGAAAGAAAGAAAGAAAAGAAAGCCTCAAGGTTACAGTGTGAGGGCTCCACTCGAGTGTTGAAATAGGAGCGGCAGGGCTGCGTCCCCGGCACCCCCGCCGCCTGCACGGCTAGCTTTACCCGAAATAATTACACGGAAACTGTATTCTTTTAAACACCGCTTGGCCCATTTCTATCTAGCCTCTTCTAGGCTAGCTCTCGCACCTGGACTAGCCCATTTCTAATAATCTGCTGTAGCCCACCAGCTGGCTTACCAGGAATGATCTTAACCTCCATCTGTCTGGAGTGGGAGAATCATGGCGACTCCCTGACTCAGCTTCTTTCTCCCAGCCTTCTGTTTACTCCTCCCACCTATGTTTTAACCTATGAGGGCCAGCCAAGCAGTTTCTTTATTGCTTAACCAATGAAATCAACAGATTGATATATGACACTCCCACATCACTTCCCCTTTTTCTGTTTAAACAAAAAAAGGAAGGCTTTAACTTTAACATAGCAAAATTACATATATCAAAACAGTTATCAAGCAAGAATTACAGTTACAATATTTATATCTATTTTCTTTTATCATAACAATGGGAAACTATAACTACCTATCCATTCTTCAACTCCATCAAAGACTCCAGAAGGATATAATATTACCTAAGTAAACAAGAAATCCAAAGCTCTAGAAATGACAGAGACATCTCGCTGCCTGTACAGTCACCCAAAGCTCCTCTGTACCGTTGGGGCATCCATCTTCAGCCTTCAGGCCCAAAGTATCCATCAGACATTTTCATCAAGCAGGAAATTCCAAAGACAGTTCAGTCACTTTCTGCTGTGTCCTGCAGAATGTCTCGCAGACTCTTTCATGAGTCAGGAACCCCGAAAGACCATCTCACCTTTAGGCAAGTTCAGCAGTCCTCTCTCTGCGGGTTCTCTTTGTCCAGTTTATGCAACAGTCCAGGCAAGAGCAGTTTCTTGCCCAAATGGCTATCAAACTCCATAACGATCCTCTTCGATGCCCATCTTCCTCTCGAAGTAGACTGGTGCTGCCAGGAGCAGACATGTCTCATTGTCATGAAAAGTCCTAAGTTATTAAAATATTTTAAATGCCATATTCTGTAGCCTTTGAGAGATATGAAGAATGCCTATCTGAAATATATCTCTATATATCTAGAAAATCTAAGTAACATGACTACAAACTTGACTATTATTTATGATTATCCATCAACAACCTATATTTCCTAATTATACATTACATTTTAAAAATGAGCTACACAATCACAACACCTTATTCAAGATCAGAAATACATATACATATAACAAAATTGACCTTAAAATCCATACCAATGCAAATTATTCATACCTATATCATTTCCCCCTTTAAATGTAAAAGAACATTTATAAACAATATTTTGGAAACATGGGCACAGTTTTTTCTCTCCACACTGCTTCCTGCTGAATGGGGGCGCTGTTAATCAGATCATTTAGGGTGTAACCTGTGTGCCAGGTTTATCTCAGTTGGCAGTAATTTTTTGAGGGTGGTCACAGTGTAGTAATAGGGGCGGCGGGGCTGCGTTCCCAGCACCCCAGCCACCTGCCCAGCTAGCTTATGCCCCGAAATAATTACACGGACACTGTATTCTTTTAAACACTGCTTGGCCCATTCTCTTCTAGGCTAATTCTCACATATTAATTTAGCCCATTTCTAATCATCTGTGTTGCGCCCCTAGGTGTGCTTACCAGGAAGATTCTAGCCTATGTCCATCCTGGGTCGGAGCTTCATCCCTGGAGCGGGCATGGCGTCTCTCTCAGGCATCTGCTCCCGAGAGGAGAGCTGTGGCATCTGACCTCACTTCCTCTTCCTCCCAGCGTTCTGTTCTGTTTACACCTCCCACCTATCTTCTAACCAATAAAATGGGCCAAGGCAGTTCCTTTATTAGCCAATGACCTTCCTCCATCATTCACAGGAACTTTTCGGGAGGTCGTGGTCTATCATACCATATCGGGATAGATGCAATCCACAGGGTCTGGTCCTCTGTGAAAACAAAAGAAGACCCTTACCAAAGCATCATATCCTTAGACCCAAATTCTGAAATCGTAATACCCTTATATCCATTCTGGTTTAGCTTGGCAGCCCATGTAATGAAATGTCTCTCTGTACTTAGCTCCTTCACAGTCAAAAATTTTAAAGAAAACACAATGTACATAATCCAGACTCTGTGAATTTTCCATTTTTTTTTTTTTTTTGGTTTTTTCGAGGCAGGGTTTCTTTTTTTTTTTTTTTTTTTTTTTTGATTTTTCGAGACAGGGTTTCTCTGTGGTTTTGGAGCCTGTCCTGGAACTAGCTCTTGTAGACCAGGCTGGTCTCGAACTCACAGAGATCCGCCTGCCTCTGCCTCCCGAGTGCTGGGATTAAAGGCGTGCGCCACCACCGCCCGGCCGAGGCAGGGTTTCTATGTGGTTTTGGAGCCTGTCCTGGAACTAGCTCTTGTAGACCAGGCTGGTCTTGAACTCACAGAGATCCGCCTGCCTCTGCCTCCCAAATGCTGGGATTAAAGGCGTGCACCACCACCGCCCGGCTGAATTTTCCATTTTTGCGTGGCTTATTTTTCTTTATTTCTCTTAATCTATAACTATCTCTACTCTGTCTCTTTAAAGACTTTACCTTTTTTTTTAAACCATTAACTTTATTCTCTATATTCTTTTTCTTCTCTCTCTCAAGCCTACGTACATTCATCCAACAGTGTGGTCTTTTATGTCTGAATCTGTTTTATTGTGAATCTGTAACATTTTTTTACTATCCAGGAGCATTTCTTAAAATGTTAAGCAGTTCTTAAAAACTTAAGTTGCACCATGTAGGGGTAATATGGTACTGCCTGTTTACTGCCAAGTCTAAACCTACTGCGCTGTTTTTACCGTAATTACGGTAGTTCCTGCCTGAGACCAGCACAGTTCATGCCTCAGAGCCATTTGGTGCCCATGAGCCACACACAGTTCCAGGCACACAGCAGTCCACATTGCCATCAACCAAGCCGTAGCACATTACTCCAAATGCTCCATTCAAAAGCTCTGTCTCCTGCAGGATCCAGACAGAGATCGCAATGGCGGCACAGCCCAGAAAGCCGGCATTTTAAAACAGCCAGTTTTTTCCTGCTGCTGAGTCAGGACAATTTCTTTGCAGCATGCAACCCACCAACAGCAAAAGGCTGTCTTAAATTCTCTCTCTCCTTTTTAAGCCCTCTCAGGTTTTACGGGGAGTTCATTAGCACGTTGGGTGCCACTCTGTTGAAATAGGAGCGGCGGGGGCTGCGTGACACTCCCACATCACTCGAGGGGTGTGGAGGGTCCCCCCAGTGAGTGTTTGATCCAGGAATGTCCTCAGCACGAGGCCCTGCGGCCCTGCGTTGCTCCTATGTCCTCATGTCTTGGTTTCTCACACAGCCACAGGCCTCCCTCCCTCACTGTTTTAAGGTGGCAACTGCCACTCTCCGCTGTCTCCTGCCACACCCCAGCTTGGACACTTCCCAAAAGTCTCTGGTCTTATTACTCACCCCGAATGCCCGTTCCCTGCCCATTTTTGTTGGTAGATGGCTCTGCGTTTCCTTCTGGTAGGATTAAAGAGTAACAGAACGAGGACACGTTTTCCTTTGGTGTTTAGCCTTGGCTCAGTAATGTCAGGTGCCTGCTTCTCTCCGCGTCCATACGTGGTGCACCGCCATCCATGTTCTCCAGAGAGGGTGGGCCAGAGTAGGTGCAGCTGCCCAGAACACAGGTTATCTGGGCATCAGCCTTTCCAACACACTTGTTACTAGCCTGCTGTTCGCCAGCCGGACCCAGACAGTGCCTTCCTCCAAGCTTGTTTTGACACTGTCTTCCACAGGTGACGCCAAGCTTCTCCTTCCACTCCTGCCTAAGCCACTAGCCGGGGGCCACTAAACTGATCTGTTCCCAGCGGCCAGCTAAGTCTAGTCAATGAGGAAGAGCAGCAGTAGAGATGGGCACGAGACAGGCGAAGAGGCAAACAACGGATAGCGTCTCCAAAGTTGGTTCTAGCTGAATGTCACCTCGAAGGCAGTAGGCCTTGCTACTTCCAAAATTTCCAGAGGATCTGGGGAATCGGGTTTTGATATGAAATGTGATTTCATTAGCAAGATAAAATTCAGAATGTGCTCTGCAGGCACAACACAATCTGTTCTGTCATCTAGAGCTGACCTGAGGGTCTGTTAGGCTAAATTCACAAACACTGGCATGTCCCAGGTAAAGAAAGCCTGGCGTGGGCCTGGGAAGTAGCTTGGCCGGTTAGAAGTGTTTGCTGCCAAGCCTTGTGATCTG